ACCAGCGAACCCAGAGTTTTAATACATACTACTAGAACCTAAGAATAGCTCAGCCAGTTTGCATTGAAGTCTGTGTAGTTACTGAATTATAAGCCTTAGCAGGTAATGAGGCTGGGATGTTCAGGTGTTAACACCACGTAAACTGTACACCTAAATCATCACATACTTGCCTTAAATGGCATCAAGTAAACTCTAATAGACTTGCTTATGTAGTTTCTGACTGTCTATGGCAATCTGCTTTCTATGAATACAGACACATAGCTAATAGTTACAATAGTAGCAGCTTTTGTTCTGTAATTTTCTATAGATAACATACTGTTACATACTGTTATCTATAAAAAAATACTGAACAAAAGCTGCTACTACAAGAAACCAAGCATGTCTATTTGAGATTACTGAACAATTTGATGCACTTTGAGGCAAGTGTGTGATGATGTAAGCATGGAGTCTACACAATGCTAATTAGTGGGATATAAGCTTTCACTACTTAGCTACTTTAGCCTCATAGGTCTAGTTCTAAAGAAGCTAACTGCAGGCACCAAACATGTCTAAACTGATTAATTACATTTGGGGTGCCCGTTTCACTCAGCACATTCTTAAAACTTAACGGTAGTCACACACATCTTGTAGTGCAACACTACCAGCTCGCATTGCCATGGATGTGTGGGAGGCATGGAGCAGCCATGCAAAGAGGCTCTTGGGAAGCACCATGTTCATGATATGAGAGACTTTTATTGTAAATAAGTTGTTGTGGTTCAGTTAAAGATATCCAAATGTGTTATTCGTGCTATTCTGTGCTGGGCTATGTGGATTTACTGTCTACCTTCAAATTAAGGTGTATGGCTAGAAGTGACCTGCCTGCTATCTCAGCTGTTTCAGTAGCACTGAGCAGCGGTTCTCCCTTGCTGCCTGTTCAATAAAAGAGCATTCACCTTTGAAACAATGTCCTGATATAAAACATATGTGACGTATTATTGTTGTATGCAGCTATTTACATATATATGGTATTAAAGGGACATATATATGAACCCATATCCAGGCAAGGTATAAAAACAAACATTCGTGTGTGTGTGTCTGAGCGAGCGCCTGCACATGAGAGCATGAGAGGGGGGATTACTTGTTGAAATAGCAATGGATCAACTCAAAGACAACATTGGCTTGATTTGTAATCACTGCCATTGGAATGAAAGGCCAGTGCAGCTGTCTATTTGAACAGCTGCTCGTTTGAAAATATTTGACAGAAACAAAAAGGAATCTGAACAAAGTGGGAATAGCCAATGGCCTTTCTTTAGACAACTTCCATACAGGCGTCCAACTGTTATTTTGAGTCAAGTTAATACTTGACGAGCTGCAGTCAAGTACCCGAGATTTATGACATTACAATAATACGCAACATGTCACTGGACTTGTATGTCTATAGAAAGGCATTTAAATCATTTTAAGATGCTTTAACCGGGGATGTAATTCTTAAAAATGTTTATTTTTGCACTATAATTCCATTTCTGAAGTGCAATGAATGTACAGCAAATCTCAAGATGGGTGATTAAAGGGTTAAATTCACATATTATCTAGTAATTTCCATATTTAAATGAACTGGTTTCTAAACATATGCATGTAAATTTTTTAATAGATTTCCTGTAGTTGTATATTGATTAAACATAGCCAAACATCGCTAAATCAGACTATTACTGTAAGCATATACATTATTTTAGGGTAATATATTGTATTATTTAGCAGACACATACTGCTGTAAAATGGCATGTTAAATTTTGTAATTATTGGCTATAATTCAGACCAACAACAATAACTAAATTTCTCACTAATTGGTGAATATCACCAAAACCCTTAACTTTAACCCTTTAAGACTATTCTATTTCTGCAATTTACTTAGTCTCATGGGGCCAGATTGTGATCAGACATGAAAGAGAACATATGTCTGGGGAAAACTAAAACTTTTGGTGCTGGATTGTGGCAAAATCTGCTGCTAACAAGGCTATGGGCCCTCTAAAACCTTCTCCAAATTCCATGGTCTTTTAACTCCAACAGTACACTCGATAACACAAGAGAAACAAGCTAACAAGCGAAATGCTAACGTTAACTAACAGACTTTGTGGTAATGTTTGGTAATGTCTGGTACTGTAAGAGGTAATGGGTTTTTTTTACTGTATGTAATCGGTTCTCCATACATGCAACACATATAGTGGCATAACTGGGATCTTACAGGCCCCAGTGCAAAACATTTGGGCCCCACATCTGAAAATGATTTTAAATTAATGAAATAATAAAATAAAGCCCACATAAATAGCTTTACATAACATTTTCTCAGACTACTGAGACATTTGCACAGTAGTGTGTTCATATTACACACTTAAAAAGATGGTTCTTCAAGGGTTCTTTAGTAAAGTTCCATATAGAACCCTTTGCATAATTGAAAGGTTTAATACATTGTGAAAGGGTTTGTCTGATTGTTGGAGAATGTGCTGTAGATGGTTCTATATATAACCTTTTTGAAAAGGGTTCTTCTATTGTTACAGGCTTGACACTTGACCCTTTTTGGGGCTATATAGAACCCTTTTCAAAAAGATTCTTTATAGAACCTTCTATAGTACTCTGTGATCTGCAATCCGAAGAATGCTTTCATGATGCAAAGAACGCCTTATTAATGCAAAGGGTTCTTTGAGTGTTCATGGTGTATATAGAATCATTCTCTTTCCTAAAGAACCCCTGAAGAACCATCTTTTTTAAGTGTGTAGAATATTGTAGTTTATTTACAATAAAAATCATTACAGACAGAACTGTGTATCTGTACCATCTATACCATGATACCAAATAGCCCACCTAGCTATGATACCCATCCATGATGCATGACGGTGCTGTAATCAGCTTAGTCACTTAAACATCTCAGTACAAATATCCATTCCATACAATATTTTACATACATGAGCCCTCAGTGATACTTTCAATCAATCTGAGCAGAAACTACAAATGTAAGTGTGACTGCACAGAGGAGTTCCACAGGATCTGTTGGGGTCTGTTTGAGTAAAATCATCTGTGAGATGGTAAGTAAAGTGAAAGTGCCATGCGACCATGAGGATCTTCTTGGTCAGTGGTGGCTTAATTTGATACTGAGGGAATTTCTGAGGGAAACAGCCTAACGTTACAGCAGTAGCTGTCTAGCTTGAGAGATCAGGTGAGTAGAGAAGGTTAAAGACTGACCTGTTGTTGTCTTGATAAATAATTCTGAGTACATGCTTTCTTTCTCTCTCAGCTCCGCACTTCCCTCCTCATCTCTTTTGCAAAGTTGTGCACACAAGCCATGATGCTGTGCTAGTTGACTGGCTGAGATAGCTTGCCAGCTAGTTCTACAACACGTCAATGATCTAGCACTGTTCTCAGATCTAACTATTACCTGTATACCGCATGTGTGTGTTAAAAAGACCAATCACATGAGAGATCAGGGGACAGAGGGGCGGGGATGTGTTTTGTTCACATATTAATGCACGTAGCCGCATGGTGCTCTAGTTTAGTTTGTCTTTAGCGCTATTGGCCTGGACAGTCCAATCTCTCGGTTCTCCTCACGGGAAGTCCGAGCCTAGAGGGGCCCAATAAAAAATTTTGGAGGACCAGTCACCACAGGCCCCCTGCCACATGGGCATCAGTGGCATTTCCCCCCTACCGCCTCTCCGGTAGATATGCCACTGGATGCATATCTACACGTTTAATTGGAATTTTTACAGGGATTTCTGTCATACTAACTTACGTTACATCCATGGGCTAACGACAGAAAATGTCGCCCCTATTTTAAGCTCCACCCGCTAGAAGCACTGGATTGGTTTAGAAATTTCGCTCTCAGTTTGTTCCCACCCACATTTAGCCCAAAATTTTATCATGGTTGTTCCCAGACATTCTCATTATGAGATCAATTTCTCAGTTTAATCTGCTCCTCTCCATCAATCACGTGATTTGTCAATACTGTTATTGCTTTTTTTTGATGTAAAGGATTGGACCTTAAAATATGGTTGAAAATTAGCCAAACTAACACTAACAAAGCCAAAAATCCATAGAGTTTTGAACATGAAAACACATGAATAAGAATATATTCCACATCAATTTTGTATTATTGTTACTCTAATTCAGCAAAACAATAATAGGCACTTGTGGCTTTGAATGAACTTTCATAGAAAAATCACATTTTATCCAACAATAATGGAAGCTTGTGCATCTTTGATACAGTGATAGAAAACACAGTAGCTCACAGAAAGTTCGGATTCTACACACTGATATGTTTCACTGTGTCCAAGGTGTACATGCATGTGCCATAACTCATTTGTTGGCAGATTTAAATAAATTTAAGGGGCCGTTGCCAAATTGGATCACTGGTGAGATGCTCAGTTCGATATGATTAACACCTCCTTATAATTCAGTTATTCTATTTAAGACATAGTACTTAGCAACTACTCTAAATGATTTGTTAACTGTGAAACTAAAATGTTAGTTATGTAGTTATGAGAATGAAAGTGAGCCCACATACAAGCCCTTCAGGTTATGGGGTTTAAACACATATTTTTTAATTTATGGTGAGACAAACAGTGGTTGATTCTCCAGCTTATGTGACACATGATGCATGCTAAACACCCCGATAGCGCACAGACTCCTCATTCATTTGCTACATAACTTTGCATGCTCATATTAACAGCACGGCTTTACCATACAGCACATTCACTCAGCCTGTCTTTCTGGACTTTGGAGAATATGGACGCCGGCCAAGGGCGACACATGTTGTCAAAGCCTCTGAATGTGTGTGTGTGTGTGTGTGTGTTGTGCATGTTTGTGTGCATGCATGTGAATGTGTTTGCATTTTTTTTCTCTCTTTTTTCCCCCCCTCTAATCTCCCTTCCTCAATATCCAGGAATCAGAGAACATCGCTCAAGCAGAGGCTAATCAAAGTGCCGATTCTTTAAAAGACAGCTGTTGTCATGTGTATTAATTCCGAGCCCCCTATTCGGAGCAAAGCAGGACGCATAGACGCATGGCATAATCGGCCGGGAAAGCAGGGTTAATTGTCCTCTCGCAGTGAAATGCTCCTCCGCTGGCCCTTACACCGTATACTGCAACTGCAAAAACACAAGGTAAGATCTGCTTGGATTTCCATCTATCTTTACTGAACCTCTTCATAGTGTTAATATGAATGTATTTAATCCATCTCCATAAAGGGGAACTACATTAAATCCTGGTTTTTGTTCTGCAGTATTAGTTTATAACTGCGTATAACGGATGTCTTGATCTGTTTCATTGGTCTGATGTACCTACATTTTTCTCTTCATGGGCAAACACATATTTCTGATGCTGTTAGTTATAATATAGTTATTTTTAACCTTGCATCTTTTCTGGTGACTGCTGTAAAAGCATGGTCTTCATGTGAGGCATTTTTGAGTTTGATGTGATGCCTTTCATATATCTGAGCTGAACATGCCCTGACTTCCGATGATTGGTTGAGGTGCCGACTTTCTGCACCAACGTTAAACTACTGGCTGATCTGGTCTTGATCTCCATCTGCTTATTCAAAACCCCACAACATCACATGCTCACTTTAGACCACATTAAGTTGCTAAGTGATCTAGACTTGTTTATGTGATTTCTGACACTGGACAGCAGCTAAAGCAGCAGTAACAACCACCTTTAAGCCTGAAATTGTAAGTATGTTTGTCCAGTGTACTAAAAAAAACATAAACATACTGTCTTGAGAGAATCAGTACAGACTGGACATACTACAGGAATGTGAATCAGTGATTGGGGCTGAAGGATTTGTGGAAAATATCTAATTGTGATTTTTCTGAGCAATACTGTGATTTATATGCAATTATTTTATTTACATTAAGCTCCAGGCCTTTATTTTGGTAAAGAGGACCAGCAAATCCATTTTTCAAGCTTGAGGCTTGAATGTTGAACATTGTGTGGCAAACTACAGTTCACAAATTTTGCACTGTTATGGTCAATTTTCCCAATCTAAACTTAAAGACAGCATTCAAAGATGTACACTCTATAAAAAGATGGTTCTTCAAGGGTTCTTTAGTAAGGACAATGGTTCTATATAGAACCATGAACACTCAAACAAACATTTGCATGATCAAAGGGTTCTCTTCAGTTTGATAAAGAATGTGTTGTATGAAGGGTTCTGTAAAGTACCAAAAGTGTTCTTCTACACAAAAGGTGGTTCTTCAAGGGTTCTTTAGTAAAGAAAATGGTTCTAACACTTGAACCCTTTACATGATTAAAGAGTTCTTTGCATTGTGAAAGGTTTTTCAGATTGATGGAGAGTGTGCTGTAGAGCGTTCTATATGGAACCTTTTTGAAAAGGGTTCTATATAGCACCCAAAAGTGTTCTTCTATTGTTACAGGCTTGACATCGTAACAATAGAAGAGTACATTTTGGTGCTATATACAACCCTTTTCGAGAAGGTTCTATATAGAACCATGTACAGCACTCTGCAACCGGCCATCTGACGAATGCTTTCCCAATGCAAAAAACCCTTTAATCATGCAAAGGGTTCTATGAGTGTTCATGGTTCTATATAGAACCATTTTCTGAACTAAAGATCCCTTGAAGAACCATCTTTTTAAAGTGTACTGTTATAATGTTAGGCTTATAACAATAGAAAAACACTTTTGTTGCTATATAGAACCCTTTTCAAGAAGGAACATATACAACACATTCTCCATCAATCTGAAGAACCGTTTCACCAAAGAACCCTTTAAAAACATTTTTAAGAGCGTGGAGTATAATTAAAATTGAAGCTCTTGTAATTTGAAAATTGCACTTTGCAATTTTGATTGAAAAACAAAAAAACAAAACTAATAATTGTTCTAGCCTATTGGTGGGTAAAGAAAGCCACAGTGCTCATGAAAGGCCAAGGACTGGACTGTGCACAACTCAGATTCTGTGCAGATTTCAGCCTCAAAGCCTTTCAGCCTTTACTTCGTTCTCAAGAAATTTGGTGGAGGCAATTGACCTTATTGGCCATAATCAGAAATGGACAAACTGAGGAAAGCAGAAAGAACAAGTTTTTATAACAAGACAACTTGATCTAGCTTTCCGCACCCTTAGTAATGGACAGTGGAGGAGTTCCCTAAATTACAAATAATAATCAAAAATGACCAGCTAACAAAGGTGTTTTATACAGACTGCATTAAGTGAAAAGTGCATTGTGTTCCCATGCCTGAGTTTGAGAGTGAAGTCCCATTTGATTCCGGGGATTTATTTGGCCATTGTGCTCTCCCACACACCGCCCTGCAACAGCTGAGGGGTTTGAAATGAGATCCAGAGCAGGTGTTTGAGTGGGAGAGAGGGAATTCAGGAGAATTTGCACTGCTTCTCTTCCTCCAGTCATTCTCCCTTTGAGGCCCGCAAAGAAACTGAAGAACTTGGTCAAAAAATACAGTAAGAAATTAGTACAGAGTTTGGAAAGTTTGACAGCAGAGAAACTAAATATGCAAAGTAAACACATGCACATGTACATACACTGTTAGAAATAAAGGTTCTGTGCAGGTACATTTTTCATTCATTAAGGTACAAACAATGTAAGTGTACCTTCAAAGGTACAACAGTGGTTTTAAGGTCCAACTGTGTATCTTAAATACGTTTTTCCCAGTGGAAAAGATTGTATTTAACCTTTTCATAATCTAATGTTTTAAAACCGAACAAGACGGGGTGTGTGGAGTCAATACAACTTAGAAAATATCATTTCAATGGATTATAGTACAATTATGTTCCACGACTAAAGGTACTGAGATGAACCCTTGAGGGTACCACCCCAGTGACAAGAGGGGCACTGCCCCAGTGACAATTTAGTACCTTGATTTCTGAAAGTGTATAAAAAGAAAGGTCTTCAACTTTATCAACTTGTTTTATTTCTACTGAAATTTCTTCTGTATCTTTTGACTACAGACCATCGATGTCTAAGTCAGTGACTGTTGTATTGGAACGGCATTGGGGTAATACTTCCCTTAATATCAATCCCTTAAAAAAGGATACTTTGGATTTTTATCTCAGCTACAAACCTTAGTGCACAATGGGTTTAACATAAATTCAGTTTAAAATCAATTGAGCAAATAAATAGTAAGTGGGGATTAAAATGTGCAAGTGTACAGGGTTTATTATTATGTTATAATATGTTATTGGACCAGGGGCACTCAAACTGTTGTATACAACAATATGTCATTAACAACATCAATAAAATAAAAAAGAACATAAAATATGCTGACATAATGTAAACAACACACTATAATCATACAACTAATGACAATTACCACACAACTATATGTGCAATATAATATTATAATCGATTACATGAATATTAATTAATTGCAATTACAGTTTCTTTAAGAACTTATACATTTAAATGATGTTTGTTGTTCCTAAATGTCTAAACCATCCTGTCTTACAGTTAGACAGAAAATAGCTTTGCTGTTTAAGGCAGTGGTTTTCAAACCCGTGCTTTGCTCAGGATCTCCAAACAGTCTATATTTTTGCTCAATCACTATGTGTTGCGTGTTTTGCTTGAAAAAAAATGAATACTGTCCAGGGGTCCCTGATGACTGGCATGAGAACCACTAGTGTAAGATACTTTTGTGGTTGGATGATCTTTAAAGGTGGAAAGTAGAGAGAAATCTTTAGAAATCTGATGTCAAATTTAGCAGAGTTTCTCAAAACATTGTCTGAAAGAGGGACTGAATGATGGCAGGGCAAGTTTCACTCTGAACTCGTTCTAAGAGTTAAAATCTTAGCTCTTAACCCTAAAAGGTCAACCATCAATTTTTCAAGATTTCTATAAAGGTCTTTCTTGAGATTTCTTGAGAAAACAAAGTCATTCAGGGTGGTTTGATGTGAAATGCACCGTTCTAAGCATACCAATTCAGATTTCTTTATAGTGGTGGTGATAGGAACCAGGTGTCACAACGTGAACCTACATGTTGCTTCGGCATTTTTATGTGCGATGTTGATATTGATGTAGTGTTACATCTGAAAAAAGTTTTCTTTAGATACTATTTTGCCTTACATGTGCCTCTGCAACATGAATAGATTTAAAAAAAAATACATGTTTTAGGCCAAAACCTTTTCAAAACTGTACTAATACATTGTCTCAGACAACATATCCAAATCCACTTCATTCAATACCTCTCTGTGTGGAACCTGTTAGAGGCATTAGATGCCTCAGACGTCTGGTTCCTGTCACCACCACTGTGAACAATTTGGACTCTCTATGTTTCTCTAGAATGGGGCATTTCACATCAAACCACTCTGAATGACTCTGTTTAAATCTTAGCAACTTAATTAATCGGTGGAATTCTTCTTTAACCTGGACCCAGTCCGATCAGTTTAGACTTATCTGCTGTCAGGAATGGATTGATTTTAGTTAGCTCAGCTTCTTGTTTGTTTCTACCATCTTCCCTCACCAAAGCCACAAGACCCCATGACCCTGAATCTAAGGTTACCTGTGTACTTGTGGTATGCACTGATCAATGCTTACAGTGGCATCTCTTCAACTGACAGCAAGGAAACAGATGTCAGCTGTTGCACAGAGGAATGGATTTTACAAAATCGAGAGGCCTGACTTTTACTACTATTTGTCAAAGCATATAGCAAAGAAGGTTGTATATTGTTTTCCGTGTTGGGGAAGCTAATTTTAAACAGTTATTCATAATTAAATGTAATTAAGCTATAGCCAACCTACTTGATAAAGTAGTTAGTTACACTACAATCTCCTTATAAAAACTACTTTGAAGTTGCTTCAAGGGGCAAGCTTAAGAAATGTGTTTACATCTGCTAGAAAAAAACAGCATAGACCCGTATAGCTGGTCCCAGCTGCTGCTGTCAGAAAAAACTTGTATCTCCAAAATGGTAACTTTACAGGACAAGGAAAAAACACACTTTCCTTTCAAAGTAAATCAATGGAACCAGACATTTTTTCGAAGTAATTTTGGGCACTTCCTTTTGATCCATTCATCAGGAAATTTCAACACAATATAAAGGGCAACAGGCATTTTCAAATTACATAAAAAACAGAAAAACAAAATGGAGATATGAAATATTGTTCCGATGCTCAACACCAGCAAAATCAGCATAATGTTGTGTTTTGCTGGTATGCTCCAAAACCAGTGGAATGTACAATGGAAAGTGTGTAATTACTGTCCATATACACAGTAAAGGATTTGCCCTCAGCCAATATACAAACTCTAGTCAAAGCAAAACGTTTAGCTGCCTGAGCAGACAAGGATGAAGAAAACTGGACCATGAAGAGAAACAATGGCATTTGATGTGGACTTGAGAGCCATTTCAAAGCCTGAGAGATGAACCATCAACAAAAAATACAGTCTAAATTAGAGTCAGGGAAGTCAGTAAGGTCAGGTTGGAGTTTTGTAATCGTGGCCCAAACAGTTCAGCAGTCTTGGATTACTCCTTCAGTTTCATTTGGCAATAATGGGATTCTGTGTTACATGCACTAGTGATGAGAGGATATTTTTCACCGAAAGTACTCATGGGGGTGCGAGTGGACGTTAAAATGGAATTCATAGCGTGAGGCACACAAACTTACAATTGGTTCATTGCCACTAAATCTGAGCTAAATCCACAGCAGCTTCACTAAGAGAACAAATGCATGGTGGATGACCTTGCATGACTGGGTTTAATCGCTTGGAATAATATGCAACCGGTCGCTGATTGTCACCTAGAGAGTGGCAGAACTGCATTCAGTACAATGTATTGTAAGCATGCTAATCAGAAAATAACAAATTGTCGCTGTCAGAGATTAAAAGAGCCACTTGAACTGCCCCCAAAAGGCCCCACTTCCTGCACCTCGCCTACCCCCAAGAGCCTGGTAGGCCATCAATCAAAGTGGCTAAGTGGGATTCTTCAGCAGAGATGCTATCAGGAGCAGCCTCTTATAGGCCCTTACACTTCTGCCTCTGTTATCTACAATGATAATTGCCCTGAACAGCCAATCTCCACTCCCCTCTAAAGCAAATCCCTGAGCTATACTTCAGAGTCACTCAGCCAGTTAAGTTTTATTTAATGGCTCAAACGAGATGAAGATGTAGCCTGTAGAAGTTTATGGTTCCATATTTTGCATGTCATGTAGTATCTGGATTTGGTTTGTATTTTGTACTAAGTATTAATGTAGGAGCTGCTATGGATGACTTGCCTGTCAATAGAGATATAAAAGTAGAAACTGCACCTTACAATGCAAAATAAACAAAACTTTATTTCAACTTGTCTGAACAGATACGTTGTGGCGTAAGCCTTCTTCAGAAAGCTGTACACAAGTTGGGGATCACTTGTTATATTAATCATAGTAATTCAAAAACAACTGTTACAAAGTAGATTGCAATGTAATAAATTAGGCACCAAAATGTAAACCAATGATTTATACACAATTTAAAGTCTATTTAATTATTTAACTTCCGGGCAAAATGACCAATACAAGTAAAAAAAGAAGAAAACATATATTTAACAGAAAACTACACTGAGGCCTCAACAACTAAATATAATAACAAATTTTCCAGTATTTAGTGCGTCCACCCTGTATTTATTACACCTTTCATTCTTTTTTAGGAGACTTGTCCGCAGTTTCTTAAAGAATCTCCAGAGAATTTATTTTTCCTCCGAAGTTCAGTCTTAGGAGTTGGTTGTATTTTCTGCTTCTCACCATCCAAGTAATCTCAAACACATTCAGTAATGTTGAGGTCTGGACTCTGGGGTGGTCAGTCCTTTGTTCTGAAAACACCAGCAGCTCTTTTGATTATGATCTTCGCAGTTATACATCCTTTGGATTTTTTCAGATCTGAAGCAAGAGTGGATGAAAGCTTTAAGTACTGTTTATCTGATGGGGACAGTTTTGGTGGTCTACCAGGTCTTGCACGATTGTTAGTAGTTCCATTTTCTCTGTGTCTTCTAATATTTTTTGAACTCCTTTTTTCACTTATTTTCCCTCTACCTTGTCCTCCTCAGAAATATCACTTATGAAAAACCTGATAACGCAATAATAGTTTCATATGGTTGATTATGGAGGACTATTTTAATGGTTGACTGTTGACTGTAAACACTGAAGAATGTGCTCATTGGCTTCTATTATAATCATTTTTTGAGTCAGCAGGTTTTCTGTGCTTGTCTGTATCGAGGGAAGTTCAGAGAAACATGTCAGAATTTTTGTCTGTGGTAATTAACTGCAAAGTACAGATGTGGCAAACAGAGACTATGCTGAAAAAAGCTGGAGTATTCCTTTAAGAGCCTTTGGGTGCTGTCAGTAGACCAAACCTGTGAGCCTGGCCTCCATACCGCAGTGTGATGGCCCTAATAACAAAAACAAGCCGCACGGTGTGGATCTGCGCCCGCCGTGTGAGCGCCATAATGAGGACCATATGCAGCTGCCCAGACATACAGTCAATGGAAACCCAATACTTCTTCCTCTTTCTCTATCTCTCTCTCTCTCTCTTTTTCCTTTCCTCATTTTTCCTTTCCACCTCTCATGCCTTCCTTTTCTCACTCCCATTTAAGGGCTGACTAAAACTGCGGACAGTTGGTCAGCCTTGTCACTTTCAGCTGTTCTTTGTCGATACTGGCTGATCCCACTTCAGCCTCTTTCCGTCTCTTTTTTTTTAACGTTTACTCAAGAGATGACATTCTAGGCTGCTAGCCAGTGGCCTTATCCTGCTGTCTTCCTCACTTTTACCAACCATAAATGTAGTCACTCTATTCCTCTCTCTCTTTCTCTCTAGCTTGCTGACTCTCTTGCCCTCTCACTGGTCTGGCATTCAGACTTGCCGTGAAGCGAAGGGCTAATTTTACCAGCCTGACATCATTCCTCTATTGTATAAAGAACAAGTGAGTCAGTGTCAGGAGAAATGCACTGACCTATTCTTTCTTTTCCTCCTCCTTTCTTCTTTTTTCTTTTTTACCTGATTCATCTCAGTAATTGACATGCGCCCCCCCTTCCTTGAACCCCCCAATATGTATATGCACTGGATCATGCAATGTAATATGGTCCCAAGCTCAGGGGAAAGAAAGGGCCCTTTCTCCGCCCATCACCCTTGTCCGTCCATCCGCTGGCAGGAGGTGCTTGTAAGAGGCTCACCCATCCATCCACCTGAGTGAATGAAAATGTCTGCTTCACTGGTCTGCATCTGAATGATGCCTCTGTAGTATCAATACCCTTACGGGCCTGAGAGAGGAATGACTTTTTCGGGAGCAGCCACCACTCTCGAATCAGCGCAACCATAATTAATTCTGCCACAGACGACACTAATGCACTTATTGTTGTGGAAAAGGTTGAGATGTTGCCCTTAGCAACATGTCCCATGTAGTTAATATACTAAACAGTGGTTTTCCAATTATTAAATTATTAATTAAAGGAATAGTTCAGTCACAAAATGTTAGTGTTGTTAAACAATAAACAGAAATGAATAGCCACCAAATAGCATTATTCAAATGGGATGAAGCTAATTGGTGGCTAATAGATTCCTTTCACTGTTAGACATATTAGTATGTCAGCAAAGCTTTTTCCTTTCCACTGGTTTTCTAAAATTTCTGCATGAATCGATTGTTCAGATGTAAGTAAAGTCAATTAGAGTGGTGTGATGTGAAATAGTTAATTGTAGTGAAACTTACCGATTTCTTACTACAGTTTCTTTCCAGTGGTGCAGATAGGAACCAGGCGTTGTGATGTCTACCATGCAAATACAGCTTTTTTATATGCCATCCACAATGACCAGTGAACCTACATGAGTTGTCTCAGTTTTATATGTAACATTGATGGTAAAATGGTGGTAAATCTGAAAAACAAAGAAGTTTTCTTTGTTTACATTATACCCATTTAATTATGCAGAAACTTTGAAAAGTGGAAAGGTGGAATTCCCCTTTAAGACATGTATAACCTGTCGCAAACAACAAGTGGCATGGTCATGTTTATCACCATGCTGTTGGATCACTTCCTAAACTGAAGGCATTTGAATTAAATGCAACTGATTCGATTAAATCTGAACCTGTTGCTTTCTGTCTTGCAGAATATCGACCTGCTCCAAATGGACCCTGGAAATCTGCTCTTAAACAGGTAAGACTGATTGATGACTGATTGAGGTGTTACATTCTAACTTACCTATAAGGTTTAATGTACTGCAAGCAAAAGCTGATATTTTTAAACACAGATTTTTGTGTTTAAATATATTAGCTTTCCCTGCTGGTCTTCTTTGTCAAACAGGAACATTTAAAAAGTGCAACCAATGTTTCATACCTTGAGCTGTAGACACGAATCACGCAAACACAAAAACTCTTTTGTCTTTTTTCCAATCTCTCTTTATCCCTTAGAATTAAACAGGCTGTTTTGTTACTGTGCCTTTAAGACTGATCTATTGTTGCAGTCCCAAAAACAAATCTACAAAAAAAGGTAACTTTCGCAGGAGAAGTAGGAAATAATGCTCTTTACTTTTATTGTAAGTTAATGTAAAGAGATTTTATTCAAAGCAGTTTTGGAGCATTTCTATTAAGTCTAGTCCATTCATCATGAAATTTCGACACAGTGTAAAGGGTAGCTGCGTTGCTCAAATAGTTTGTAAAAATCATTTACTTCACTTATATTTATTCATTATTCTTGGTCAGTGACACTATGTAAATGATCTCTGTTTTGATTGGCTGCTCTGTACTGTGTCTCATTCAAAACGAAACCAGCACTGAAACACACCTATAACGTGAGCATGAATGGGCGTGGCTAAACTGCTATGGCCTGAACAAACACATATATCGCTGTTGTCTGAAAAAATCTCCATTTCTGTTTTTCAGGTTTTGACAGAATTTGAGAATGCCTGTCGCCCTTTACATTGTGTATAAATTTCATGATTAATGTTTTGTCGAAAGAAACGACCCAAATTACTTGGAAAAATTTTGGTTTCATTGACTTACATTAAAAGTAAAGTAGGTTTTTTCATTCTCCTGTAAAGTTACCATTTTGGAGATACAAGGTTTTGTTCTGACCACAGCGATATATAAATGTATTGCGTATATGTAAATGTGTTGATTTGTATGTATATAAAACATTATTACATGTATTTAAATAGATGTACATCTCTATATCTAATAGTGTCTTTTTTAATATTTATATACATGAAATATGTAAATATATTGAGAAAACTAAAAAAAATAAACATATATATATATATATATATATATATATATATATATATATATATAAATTTTATTCCTCTAATAAAGGTGGTATTCATCATAATGTAACATTAATCTTTCTTGTCTGTGTAAAACCCACTCCAAATAAACCAATTAATAACAAGGAAAACTCTTAAAGTGGTCCATAATGTGTTTTTGAACGAAACCCTTTACATTTACTTTCCTTATGGTTTACTTGGGTACATGTAACGGGATAAATGTCAGTAGTACCTCTAGTCAGTGAGTCTTTTTTGTCGATTAGTCGATGCAGTTCGGTGGCTAATAATCACTGCTAGTCATCGTCCGAGAGGGGGCTGGCAAACTCGAGGCTCCTCCCGTGCAGCGCGTTAGAGCTGTCTGAGGGCCGCTGCTTTAGGAGGGGAGATGAAAAACTTTGTGTGGCTTCTTGCAGCTTCAGCGTCGAAGAGCAGCAGCAGCAGCAGCAGTCGGAGAGCCCCAATCTAACTGAATGGATTGGCATGGGGAGAAGCGGACCTTTCAACCTGGCTAAGCTGCAGCTCTGGAACTGGATTTCCCTTGTGATGCTTTCTCTCTGTCTGCTGTTCCGACCAGGTGAGAGTCGTGTTGTTCAGTTTCGCACTCGCATGGCAGCAGAACTGGTGAAAACATACGAGGCTGAAGTTGGCTTCCTATTCGCCCGCTTCTTGTTCGAATTTTCCCGTTCCACCTTAAATGTTACAGCAGTTACAGGCGCCAGAATGTAACTGTTGCACTATTTAAGGTGGAACGGGGAAAATCGAACACAGCTTTGTTGAAAACATCGCGGAGCGAAAAGCAGCGCTAGCTGGAAAACGAAGCACACGAAGTTCTTAAACAGCTCCTCAGGAAACCAGCACTGAGTTAATAAGGCAGAGTTTTAAATACATTGCTCGTGTAACTGTTAGTTTTCGGTTTCTGCTAAAACTTTTATATGGAAAAGTTCAAATCCGCTCCGAGCACATTTACGCCAAACAAACTCCTCAGAAAGCTGTGCAGCTATGCGGCTAAAGGAGCTAGCAAACAACGCAGGCATGCTAAGCTAACATGAAGCCCGACTTGTGCGCTGAGATTTTCTGTTAATAATTATCTAACTTAGCTAACTGTAGTAACTTTAGCTTTTACTGATCCAAAATGTCGAAGTTGGTTGTTTAATTTGAAGTGAGTCTTATCGCTACACAAGTAACGTTAACTTACCCGATCTTGTTGCGAAGTTATTTGTTTTAAGGTTTACCAACTTCATTCTGGCTGCTGACTAGCTATGCTAGCTAGGTTAGCTAGCACGCATCACACAAGTTCTTCTTTTTGGAAGTTAATATGAACGGTTTTAATTTTTTTATTATTTTTTTTTCTGAAACCCAAGAGCTTACGGAGCCCTTAAGGGGCTGTGGTTAAAAAAAACAAATAAAAAAAACGGCATTGCGTTACCTCGCAATAATTTTGCGTTCCCTTGCAAATGTTTTGCGTTCCGTCGCAATAATTTTGCACTCACTCGCAGTGATTTGCTTTCCCTTGCAAATGGAATGGTTTTTTGCAAGGGAGTGCATATATGTTTGCAAGGAAATCCAAAAAATGGCAAGGGAATTCAAAAGTATTGCAAAGGAACGCAAATAGTTTGCGAGGGACTGCAGCAATACTGTGAGGACACGATGTCGTTGGAAATATTGTTTTTCCTATCGATGGCACTTTCGGGGCTCCGTCAGAGCTGCATTTTTCAGCGACAAAACATTACTTATTGAAGTGGTTGGGACAAAAGCTGGCCTGCTTTTCAGGGCAAACTTTTACCATTCAGTGTCTGTTTAGTGACACATTTATATCTGAGTTATAAAAACATTATTACAGTTTAATAAGTAGTTTTGTAATTTAATGCTCACACAGTCTGAAACATTAGTAGCCTAATTTAGAGTCTGTCATTTGACTCTCGAGATGGAATAGTTACACATCTCCTGGCGTTATGACATGCTTTATATAGAAGCTAGGTTAAAAGTCTGGATAGTGATTAAATAAGTTCAGATTTCATTGGAAGGATAGAAGAGTGAGATTTAATCCACACTGGGCCTAAACTTTACTCCTGTCTGCCTAATATTGCTGAACTTAAAGTGTCAATATCCTGCATCCTTTAATTTTATATTTATTTTCTCCCCCTGAGGTTCAAATAGTACATTTGTGTGGTTTCATGCACCACAAAAACATAAAAAAATTACAAAATTGGTCATATGGCAAAAATGGTCGTAATTCCTTTTTACCTGACCGTTGCCTGCAAACCTTTGTTTATCCCTTAGAATTAATCAGGATGTTTTTGTTACAGTTTCTGTAAGATTGATATACATCAACAACCTCTGTTCTGATTTGCTTCCCTATATCATGCCTCAAAAAAAGCAGGGCTGAAACACTTATTATAAATTCAGCAGGAGTGGGCGGGGCTAAACGTCTGTAGGCTGATTGTGTGGATATATGTAAATGCTCTGGCTTTTGTGACATCACAAAAACGGTGAATTCAGATTAGACTGTTTTGCAGCTCAGTTTCCATGTATTGACTTTGTGAACAGTTTTGAAAATTTTGAAAATGTTTACATCCTTTCCATCAAACTGTTTGATTTACCACAAGGCAGGGTAAAATTAGATTTTCCATGATATTGGCCCTTTAAGCCTTTTATGAAGGCTGTTTAGATAAAAAAACACCAGCTATTGATATTATATTCAGCCGTATCTGATGTTGGGTCGTGAAAATGTTTTTAATCTCCACATATACTGGAGTTTATGCATGTTATTTGCACTGTACAATGCAGACAGAAATGGGAAGGTTAGTTTCAGGGTGTATTCCTTTAAAATTACAGTTTTAATCAGCCGTCATGCTCTCAGTTGTTTACAGCCTCCCAATAACAGATTCGAATTGTGTTCCATTGCTTTGGATTTTCTTTTGCCTTTAAAGGACAATTAGTGAAGTACATCATGAAGGGTTTGTTTTATTGCTGGCCAGTGAAATCCTCTCCAGAGGTCATGTTTGCTGCCAGTGAGTCATATTTTTTCCCTTTTAAAATGTTTTGTTTCATGTTCTCATGGGTTTAGTGGTGATGCTTCCACATGTCGCTTGAGAATTCTTCATTTCTTGTGGTTCGTTTGTTTATGCTTAAAACACTTTTGTTTTTTAGACGTGTCTAAAGTGGGTCAGGTTTCTCCAGTTGTTGTAGAACCGTTGTGTGCATCCAGCCCAGTGGTGTTGTCTTATCTTAAAAAGATAATCTTAACACTGTCATATCTTGTTCGGTTCACGCTTAGAATACTGTGAATACTGGGATTTGATGTTGGCCTTGTCTCAGGATCAGTTAGAGCACTGCTACTGTGCTTGAAAGTATCTCTCAAGAGTAACAAACATCATAAGACAGAAATCTGTCATATAATATTTTGATTGTCTTAATCATTGCACACTGAATAAATAATATTGGTACATTTAGTTACACAACAGATCTCTCAGCTTAACTGTTGCCATGAAAAAGCAAGGCACACGAGTAAAAATGTAGGCTAGTCAGTTAACTGCATATTTACTATATATATTCTCATCTAATTAGCTTCATGTTGGGAAGTCAGTATCATTAACTCTTTATAAATCTTACAATTATCATAGCAGGCCCTTCATTAGCGTTAGAGTATGACCCAGTTCCAGCTGTTATGCAAACACGTACCTTCTTAATCTAACTCTTATTATTTTTATTCTTTTCTAAGCGCATGACTATTACAGTCAAAAAGTAGTGATGTACTGTTGCAAAGTGTGGGCCTATGCCATATCCAATATTTTTTGCGCTAATACACAAATATTGAAAAAAAAATAGAAATCAGGACAACACCTACCCGATTTAGCATTATATAGAAATATAACATTTATGTCTATAGAGTTACAAATGCAGTAAAATAACTAAAATGCAGATTTTAGACATTTTAGCATAGCAGCCCAGCGTCGCCTAAACATCCTGTTACTCTAGAATACAATAAACATAACAAATATCATTTTAAAATATCAGTCAAATCTAAACATTTGTCTAGTGTCTCTGTTTTTTTAAGCAATTAATTTTTAAGCAGTTGTGTGTTACATTCATGTATAGCCATTTACATCAAGAATGTACGTGAAGTTTGCCGTTTCTGCTGTTATGCACCATAAATAATCTCAAAATCTCACTCCAGTATGCTGAGAAATAGACTCAAGACCGTAACAGGGCTTAGGACAAGGGATGTTTCACTCAGTTTATTTTCCTCAGTCAAAGTTATTTAATATTGTATTATCTATTGATATCTGGTCCGTGGCTATTTGTATTTACATACAATATACAGCCACACAATGCTCATTTTAACTTCATTAAAGTTAGTAAAACTAACACTGTCTTTTTCTGGGCAGCCTATGTGAAATAAGTGTGTTATAGGGTTGTTAACACGCTATTTTTGTATTTTATGTTATTTTAATGTACACAGTATTCTTTTTTCTTGGCGTTGAACATGCTGTAACTGCTAAGTGTCTAATAGCTGTGTACTGAAATTTTATATTCGCCTACTTAAACCGTGTTAATGAAAGGCAGATAGAGTAACCGCAGTTTAAACTGCATTGCAGGTAATGTACGTTGTAGATGGCTGTTGGGCTGTTTTCATTTTCTACACACAGTTTTATACTAAACATTGAGGTAGTTTCAGACAGTGGGGTAAATATAGCATTCCTAAATGAACAGAATTGGATATGGCTTAATATGGCTGATATTGGTCCATCAAAATATGCCTTACTTAGATAGAGATCTGTAGGCACTTTAATGCACAAATTCCTTGTACAAACTGTACATGATGAATGAAAGGTTTCTGATTCTATCTGATCTCATTAGAACCTTCCTGTTCATGACTTTTTAAATGGGCCAAACCTGAACGAAACTCTCCTCACTCTGTTCCCTACAGTGTACTGTCAGACATGTCGGATCCAGCGGTGTAATGCTGAGTACGTGGCCTCTTCCTCCCCCTCCGGCGGTCTTCAGGAAGAGGTCCTCCCAAACGTGGACTACTGCATCGCCCTGAGGGCCTACTCACTGTGCACCAGGCGCACCGCCCGTGGCTGCAGAGGAGACCTGGTCTACCATTCGGCTGTCTTTCGCATCAAGGAGCTCTTCGTCCAGCACAACTGCTCCAGCGACGGCCCTACTTCTTCGGCCAAAGCCCCCAGCACCTCCAGGCCAGCCGTGGTGGACGTGTGCGACTACGAGAGCCGGGCACTGGCCTCTGGCCCTGCAGCACAGCAAAAGAAGTATGGCCACTGTGGATTATTCGGAGACCCCCACTTACGGACATTCAGAGATGAGTTCCAGACGTGTAGAGTCGAGGGCGCTTGGCCACTCATTCATAACCGCTACCTGTCGGTACAGGTCACAAACGTGCCGGTTGTGGAAGGATCAAGTGCAACAGCAACCAATAAGGTAAGTCATCATAAACAGATATGTCTCCTCTGAGTCTATGCCAGTTACTGACATGCAGCTATATATGCTTGTAGACCTTTAAGGATAAATATGGACCATAAAAACACCCCCTCTGGAGTGCTTTGAGGCGCAGTACAACGCTGAAACACTCCCTAGAACTTCTACATGAATGGCCGGAGCTAAACTGCTGTCAGCTGAATAGGTGGATATATGTAAATGAGTTAGTTCTCTTCACATCACAGAAACAATGTATTCAAAAAGCGGGTGTTTTATGGTCTGGGTAGTGAAGTGTACAGTTTTAATTTAACTATGTTTACATTTTACACCAAATGCCTTATTTCAAAAGCAAAGAAATCAAAACTTTATGATTGTATTACATCAGTGTAGCTGACTTGTTGAAGATTTGCATCTTCCTGCCTGATGCTCATGCCTGCAGCACATTTTGCCTCCACTGACCCTCCAGCCAGATGGTTTCATTCAACTATTTACAGATGCCAATGAGGTGTTCTTTTTGCTTCATAGCAGCAGGAGAGAGAAGCTCATGAATAGGATCTTTCAGGTGTAAATTGAGCACCTGGGCACCAGTCTTGATGCAAATGTCTAGTGTAACTGTGTACCATCCACCCAATAGGCAATTCTGCAGGCTTTATAGATAGCAGTTGGTGCTCTTTACCATGTTACAAAGTTAAAGCTACAAGATTCATGTATTAATGCAAGTCATGACACCAGTGAAGGCACTGATACACTGCATAACAGTAGCTGAAAGGAAGTCATGCATATTTTTATATAACAGTTCCAGTGCTTTTTGGAAGAGGTACTATACAGCGCAGCCAATCTGAACAGAGCTCATTTCAGTTTCTTAAATGCACAAAACAGCCTGTTTAATTCTTAACGGATAAAGACAGTTAGAATACGATCATGTACAAACATACTGTGACTGTGTTTGGTACACAAAACCACACAGGTGTTTTAACTCCTTAAAATTTTAGTGTTAATGGATACTAAGGCTTATTATTCAGTAACCACAGGGACTTCACTGCAAACTGGTTGAGCTATTCTTAGTTTGTAGTAGTGTGCAGTAAAACTTCGGGCCTATCAGTGCACCTTGGTCATTTAAGGGGTTAAGTAGACCTCAGAGCAAACCTAAAATCCAAGAAAAATGTAGGATATGGACCATTTTAAAACTAAGGAGATGCCTGTAGAGGGGTAAGTTGCAATTATGTATGCAGCAGGTTGATGTCCTGCTGATGATTGAATATGTAAGGATTGGTGGAGGCCGTAACTTTTTGAATAATGGTCAGCCCACTAGTTTAAAACAAAACAGATAGTAGTGCCTGTAGCAAATATTTATATTTGCAGATGACAGCAGTTAGATCATGTTTAATCAGTGGGCATTGTTACTCAGCAGTCAAGTATGTTCTTTTTTATGACATCAAATTCTGCTAATCCTAATATGATTGAAAAAATGAAAATCAGCTGCGCCACAGAGAACAGCTCTGCTTGGAATTAGCAGTTTGGGGTTTAGATATCGTCATTGTCCTTTTGTTCTTGGACTTTCTCTGTTCTCCTACTGCCACGCTGTGGTGAGATGTGGTATTTCACCCCAGAAAGTCCTTAAGCTCTAATTTACTCATGCTGTACACATGGAATACAGTCCAGGATTTGCCCTGCAAAATGTATCATGACTTCTTAATGAGAAAGGTTGATGGTGCTTAACCCCTAATAATTTATAGTAGAATTATGAATAGTAATGAATAAGTAGTATGAATAATATGTATTAAATGCCCCATATCTTATATTTTTCTTGCATTTTTTTTCTCTCAGGTCCTGTTATGACATTTGTGTGGTTTCATGTACCACAAAAACAGTCAAAATTCAGTTTTTCAAGAACACCTTCCATCACGTCTTTATCCCTTAAAATTGAAGAGGCCTTTTTTTGTAACTGTACCTTTAAGATTGATTTATGTAAAGTAGCTCTGTTCTGATTGGTTGCCCTGTATTGTGCCTCATTCAAGAAGCAGTCCAGACTGAATCACTCCTTATAATTTTAGGGGGAATGGGCAGGACTATGCTGGAGTAGGCTGAATTTGGGGATACACAAAAATGCGTGTTTTTGTGACATAAAAAAAGCAGTTAATTCGAAATAAGATGTTTTTATGGCTTAGTTTCTATATACGGACTGTGTTGGGTTTTGAAATGTTTAATATTAAAAAATCTTCAGGCCTTTTATTTAAAAAAGTGAGGAAAATTTTCTTTTCCATGATATAGGCTCTTTAATATTAATAAAGGAATAATAAGCTTAGGTTTCAATGATTGGAAAAAGTCTAATTGCTTTCACTCTTACTAACTAAATGTAATTGTGTCGCCCACAGATAACAGTCATATTCAAATCCTTCCACGACTGTACTGAACAGAAGGTGTACCAAGCCACCACGGAGGACCTACCGTCAGCCTTCCAAGACGGCACTCGCAGCGGCGGGAAAGGAGGCAGCCTTTGGATAGTGGAGGACGGTGGTGGGGGCTCGGGCGGGCGGCAGGTGATGATCCAGGCCCGCTACCTGGGTGCCTCCATCATCGTGCGTCAGGTGGGCCGCTACCTGACCTTCGCCATCCGCATCCCGGAGGAGCTAGCGGAGGAGAACGGCGGTCTGCAGCTGTGTCTGCATGGCTGTCCCCGCAGCGAGGTCATAAAGGCCCACGTGCTGACCCGGCAGCAGAGCCTGCGTCCACCACGGCTCCTCGGCTCCTGGTATGAGCAGGAGGACGAGGAAGGCGGTGGGGGGGAGCTGAAGCCTGGCTCAGTTCCCCATGCTGACATGCTGGAGCGCGCCACCACCAAGTGCAGGGAGACGCTGCAGGTGGAGGACGTTTACTTCCAGTCATGCGTCTTTGACATTCTCACCACTGGAGACCTGGAGTTCTCCATGGCTGCGTATGGGGCCTTGGAGGATCTGAAGGCACTTCCGCCCAGCACGCTGAAGCAAAGTTCACCAAGGACTCCATACGTGTATAACAGAGCCACTGCAGTGTCATCGTCCCTCCTTGTCACTCTCGTCTTGGTGTTTCTCCTGCTGAAGTGACCATGAGCGAGAGCTTGGATTGCCAGACTGCTCTTTTGAATTTGCTTCCATGAATTCGTACAGTTGATTTCATTTGGGAGAAGCATTCTCATTCACATTTGTAACCCTTGAAGAACTGAATCGAACCCATAGAAACTGCAGGAGGGCATGTCAAAAAATGAAAAAACAAAAAACGTGCACTCACAAGACAATAATTCAACACTTTTTTGCGTGGTGTTGCGTGGAAGTATGTTGCAATATTACACATTTTTCTGAAGGGGACATTACAGTCTACGAATGCTGAGGGCAGCTAATCAGGATAGCTTCTTGATTCTCATTATCAAGTAAATCTCAGTAGGGTGGACAGTTTTTGTAACAGCACTATTTCAGTGTTTTATAAGTGATACTCACTAATGTCAGACCATAGGAAGAATATAAATGAAACATGGATATGGCCCTGTGATGGACTGGCTTATACAGATACTCTGACTCCATTTACATCTGCTCATTTCATGCGTCTTCAGTATCAGGATTATATCCAATTATAGATTATCCACATAAAATGCAGATGTACATGCACCCAAGCTGCATTTAACAGAGACCTGATCACTCAAATCTAAAATCTGATCACTCAAACCACTTCAGGCAGTGTGGTCTGAGATGCATGTTAGCCGTCAGCGTCCCAAGCTAGTTAAGGTAATGTGTCAGATCAGTTTATGTGTCATTTTTATATCAAAATCGCAATTTGAAAGAGTGCCGTTTTCAAATCGTAAGAGCTGTATTTTTAATTATAGTCTCTTAACAAGGAGAAGTTTAACCTAATAACACAGAGTCTGCAGGTTCTGCAGATTAGGGCTGAATGATTTGGGCAAAATGTCTCAGAATTGCAGTTTTTCTGATTGTCACTGTGGGATTATTTTCTATAAATTAAGGGTCCAGGCCTGTTTTTTTAACCATTAAGACCTGCAGATCCACTTTCTAAGGCTTGAACATGGTGCATGTGACTGCCAGTTAGATGTGATTGTGATATCACAACACATTCTTGTTTGGTTGCTTGTGGTTGCTGCTGATCTCCCAACTTAAAAGAGGCAACATTCTTAATAACATAGGCTGTAATAAAATTTGCAGCTCTTGCGATTTGAAACTTGCCTCTTTCAAATTGCGGTTTCAGTATAACAACAATGATGAGTTAGACCAATCAGAAGCAACTAGACACCCGTGTGCCGTGTACATGGCAACACAACCACAGCTAACTGGCAGTCTGGTGCACTATGTTTAGTGTTCAAACCTCCAGCCAGAAGAAAATGGTCTTCTTTGCCAAAAACAGGATTGGGCCTTAATTTATAGACAATAATCGCAATTTAAATTGCAGTCACAATATTGGTCAGAAAAATCACCATTCGATTTTTTTCAAGTCGTTCAACCCTGCCTTGTCGTTATTCTCTGTCTGGCTACAGAATATTGCATTTTAGTACATATGATTCATGGCTGTGACTACAAATACAGAAAACTAGTCATTCTAACCTGCCAACACCAATATAAAGCCGTTGGAAGTAAATGAATATCATGCATGCAAAATTGTCATATTCACGATGGCAACCATCTTTTGACCAGAACAAGATAAAACAAGGAACAACACAGGTGATTGGTTGTTGCATATGAGCTAAATTTGCATATTACGTGCCAAACAGCAGTCGGATTTCAATCTAACTGCAGACGCATTTGACAACCAGGTGTAAATGCATGAGGACTCATCAGGTTACAGTCCAAAACACAAGTCACATGGAATGACAAGGTGTAAATGGGGTCTGTGTCTGTCTTCCTGGTTTGAATTTGGCACTTAATCTCCACCCTTTACAATAAATACGTTACCGAAATAGGATCCAACAACTGATCGAAAATACTACCTATCCCTACATCTGGTTCCAGGTTGATAACTTCCGTCAAGAGAGCTACAGGTACAGTATACAAACACTCAAATCTTCAAGCTGCTTTGCTTCCAGCATTAATGTTTAAGGTTAAGAAACAAATTCTTTATATAATAATATATTGAAAGAGTGTATATATGTGTTTTATAATGTACATTCACCTGTGTATAGATGATTTTAAATGTGATGTTTTGCAGCTGTTTTACTTAGATGTTTTTTTTTAAACCGTGTAAGAAGTAACTAATATGTAATCCCTCTTCTCTTCCTAATTAAAAAATTGTTGCGACACTATCTTGCTGTTTTACTGCCTTCTTTTGAAGTTTTATATGCCTTATGTACACTTAACATGGCTTGATAGCTTGCTGTATTTCACTCCTGTGTTTACGATACTACTTCCATCACATTTCAGACTGTCTAACGTAATCACCTCTGGACCTCGCCCAAGGACAATAATTGTTACCACAAATGAATCATGGGAAATCAAATCAGCAGACAGATGGTTGTTTACCTACCCAAGCAGGTAATGAGTAAATAAATACATAAATGCTTGGGTATACCACAAACCACTATGGGGACAATAAAAAAAGTTTTAAACATCTGGAACAGTTGCAAACTTGCTGAGGGGAGGAGAGTGAAGTGAAGTGAAGAAGAGGGTGGTAAAGAAGAATTTAAGTGACCACAGATCAAGAACTACAGGCAATAGTTGCATCTTTGGGTCAGCCATAATGTGGCGCTTTCACTCCAACTGGCCTTTGGAAGCTGCATAAAGAGAGTCTTTGTGTCAGGGTTTTCTCGTTGGAGCTACAGCTGGAAAAGGTACCGTAGAAGACAAGTCCAAAGCACACCACTGTGGTCATGTATTCCACTGACATATTTGTGTCAAAGGCACCTTAAACCTATCATCAGACTTGGTGGTGGATCATTTATGCTTTGGGGCTGTTTGGTGGCAATACTATAAAGTGGTATGGCACTTAAAGTGGCCCATATTTTACAGTTTTTACTGGATTTTATTTCATTTCCTCTTGAGGTTTACTTAGGACATTTGTGTGGCTTTATGTACTAAAATGCTCATAGTTCATTTTACACCTTCATCCTTTTAAAATGAAACGGGCTGTACATGTTTACGTACTACCAGAGAACTTGTAGAGAGGATAACTACCACTCTGTAATGTCTTCTGGGTTCCTCAAACGCTAGAGGGTGCTCCCATGCGAATCGAAAATGAATGAGTTAATATGGAGCATTTGAGTAAAATAATGGTTTATAAATGCCTAAACATTTTTAATACAAAAGAATACCTTCAGTACCTGAATACAGAGCACCATTAAACATTTTAACCTCTTTGTTATATTTTTAAATGCTTTTGAAATCAAGTAATAGGAGTTTAAAACAGCGCCTTATGTACGTTCATGACAGTGCAGAGCGCAAACAGCCAATGAGCTGCTCCGCTTGCCAACCAGTCAGCACTCAGTAGCCATATTGCTAGCATCCTGCTGCCCAAAACCTGTTTTTATTTTTAGTGAAATACATCTTTATACTTTACAAAATAAAAGGAAAGTTCTGAGCAAGCGATTAAAAACTACTTTAACTTTTTCGGTTTTAGCCGTTTAGCTCAGATCACCCTATTTGTTGTTCGCGGACGCCCTCTGGTGTTTTGCAGTCCCGTTTGTGATATAATGGGGGAAAGAGAAGAAGCCAGGCTCCTCATAAACCGGCTCTGATACTACATTAAAAATCCATAATATGGGCTCTTTAACCAAAGGTCTGGTCTTTCTACACTCTTAGAAAAAAATGGTATGAAACTGTCACTGGGGCAGTACCCTTCTTGTCACTGGGGTGGTACCCTCAAGGGTACATCTCAGAACCTTTAGTCAGGGAACATAATTGTACCATAATCCATTGAAATGATATTTTCTAAGTTGTACTGACTCCACACAGCCCCGTCTCGTCTCCAGCATTTTTATTTTATTGTTCTGTTTTAAAACATTAGGATATGAAAAGGTACAAATATGTACTTTTCACCTGAAAAAAAAACTTATTTAAAGTTCACAATTGGACCTTAAAACCACTGTTGTACCTTTGAGGACACATTTACATTGTTTGTACCTTGATGAACAAAAAATGCACCTGCACAGAACCACATCTGGCACACCTTTAGGTTCTTTAAACTTCAAATTGGTTCATCAGACCTGCACATCTCATTTAGTTTAAAAAAACATTCACTGAAATGTTCTTTGGGAAAGCACAAGTGGTTCTTCTTTGGCATCACTCCAAAGAAACTCTTTTTGGCACCTGTGTTTAATAGCTGGACCTTCCACCAAAGCTATGGCACCAAGCATACCTCATCATCAGTTCAGAAGAGGTAGATTGAAAACTAAATGGACGTTTTTGCCCTGACCATCTCAGTCTCTGGACAAAGCTGTGTTCTGCCCTTGAAAAGGACCATCTACATGTGTGAAACCTATATCAAAAATCCTAAAGGGTCCTGAAAGGCCCCTAGATTTGCTCTCCAACCTCATTAAACATACAGAAATAATGCTCAGAGCTTTATGCTTGACAGGGGACATATTAAACACCAAAGGGGGTGCCCTCATTAAATTAATACTTTGAAAAATGTTTGGACTACTTTCTTCCATAATTGCTGCAGTATAATATTTTCCACTTTATTATTTGTTCTCTAAGGTCTGTTTTAGTCATTTCTGGCCTGTGTTCATAATTCCAGACGTTAAGGTTGCCCACGTCTCTGGTGAGGTAGGTATGTGATGAGGAACCATCTACAATGCTCTGTCAAACTCTAGACCCATGGAAGGAGTTAAGTGTCTCATAATTTCAGCCTCATTCATCGTGTTATGCCAAATCTATTCCTGCAGGGTCACCTACCTGCGCTTCCCTCCTTAGTCTATAGCGCTTCATCACCCTCGGCTTTAACGTCGTCCAACATGAACAGAGGACAAGAGGCCATTTCTCAGGAGTGTTAAAACCTGTCAGAAGTGATTCTGCTCAGGCAGCAGCAGGACAGGCCAAACACACTTCACATACTGGCAGCTAGAAGACTCCTTCACTCCCTCTGCTTTTAAGGAGTATTTGCTCATATTAGATTACGTGCTAATATAAGATTACGTCTTAGATGGGGCTTCCAACCTTTTACTTTAAAATGTTCTCCCCACCTTGAGAACAGATAAAGTTCTTGATGATCACAGGGTTCCCTTTAAGCAGGCCACATGAAATGAAAAAGCTAAATCTGCTTCATTACATCCTCACTTTCCTCTAATAAACAAGGGCAATTATTGTGCTAATGATAGAAAAAACCCTCGGGAGTGATTGATATTCACAATGAAGAAATTAATTTAATATTAATAGGGTATTTGGCAAGATAAATTGATGGTACAGGCAACGTCTTCTCCTTGATTGATAAATTGCTAGATTGATGGTTATCTTTTGGCACAGTTTTAAGTAGTCTAATTACGCTTATCTCTAATTACGCTCGTCTTCAGCCGCCAATCTGCTCTTTCCAAATATGTTTTCAATGTTACTCTTTCTGCAAAATGACAAAATAGTCTAGAGACTCTTACTAACATCTGAAGTGAAATCCACCAGCTTTATTGGGTTGTTTAGATACTTGGCTTTGCACTCTGATTTGCTAGTTTAATCCTGTCTTCTGATTGACTAGCTGAACCCTGCCTTCAGATGTGCATCTTGAATTCTGCGTTCTGATTGGCTAAAGGAAGCCTGTGCTTTGATTGTCTATTTTAATTCTCCTTTCTGATTGGCTACTTGAACTCTCCGTTTTGATTGGCTAGTTCAAAGCTGCCTTCTGATTGGCTATGCTCTAAATAACTACTTGAATCCTGCTTTTCGATTGGGTAGTTGAATCCTGCCTTTTCTGCATAGCTGAATGCTGCCTCCTGATTGGCTGTTTGAACGTTTTTTTTTCTGATTAGCTTTTTGAATACTGCATTCTGATTGTCCACTTGGAAC